TGTAAATTTTGGTCAATGACATGAGACAAAGTATATGTGAACTGCTGTATGAAAAGTGAATTTACTCTGTAAATCTTCACCCAAATCCTAATAAAAAAACAAAACAAAACAAAACAAAAAAACAAAACAGTATGTGCATTCTGGCAGCTGGCTGTTTCCTTTTTCTAGTCTGTATATTATTTATACACTAGGATTATATATCTTCCTCCCTAATTTGCAATGTAACTTGTACATCCTTCCAAACATTTCTTGTGTGTGTGTGTGTGTTTATGTTTTTTTTTAAAAAAACAAAAAAAAAAAACCCACAAAAGGGGGTGTTAGTTGTTGTTATGTGCTGTCAAGTCGGCCCTGACTCATAGCGACCCCTCCTTGGGTTTCCGAGGCAGTATCACTATGGCAGTAGATTGCCCAACCTTCTTTCCAAGGAGTGGCTGGTGGGTTTGAACTGCTAGCCTTCTGGTTAGCAGTCAGATGCCTTAGGCACTATGCTACCAGAGCTTACTTTGTTCTCATTTTTCTCCCCACAGTATTATAACCATTTAAGTTTGTGTCATTTTTTTAATGCCTGAATAGTATTCTATAGTATATATAATCTCTACTTAAACCAGTGCTCTGCTAATGGATGTTGTTGTTGTTACGTGCTGTTGAGTTGGACCCAACTCATATTGACCGCTTCTTGGGTTTCCAAAGCGGTATCACGATGGAAGTAGATTGTCCAACCTTCCTTTTGAGGAGTGGCTACTAACGGATAGTTTCTAGTGTTTCACTTTTATAAACTGCTGAAGCCATCTTTGAATACAGCTCTTTACACAATTTCTGTATCCTTAGAGTGGGAGCTCTGGTAGCATAGTGTGGCACTTAACTGCTATCCAGAAGGCTGGTGGTTCAAACACACCAGCCACTCCCTGGAAGGAAGGTTAGGCAATCTACTTCCATAGTGATATTGCCTTGGAAACCCAAGGAGGGGTCGCTATGAGTCGGGTCCAACTCGACAGCACATAAAAACAACAAGAGTGGGATTGTTGCATCAAAGAGTATCCTAAAATTCAGCAGTTATTGACAGACTGCCCTCCTGAGAGGCTGTACTAATTTTCACCTTTGCTAACCAACCATGAACTAGAGTGCCAATTTACCTGCCAATTCTTACAGATCCTTTAAAGAACACCTTTTGTACTCACCAGCTTTTCTAAAAACAATTCCTTCCTTACTGGTATCCTAAGCTAATTAACAAAGAAAGCTCAGGATTTTCTGGTGCTTCCTGAATAAAAAATGTTTTTAGTTCAGAGAAAAATAAGATGTTCCATCTGAACGTAAATCTAAGTTGAAAAGCAGCCATATATGTTTGTATATGTTTGGTAACAGCTTTACTGGGATATAATTCACATACCATACAATTCACTCATTTACAGTGTGTAATGGTATGTAGAGCTGTGCAACTATCACTACAGTTCAGAAGATTTTCACAGCCCCAGAAAGGAATCTTATACCCTTTAGGAGGCACACGTGGGCTCCCTATCCCCACCACCTCTTGTTGTTGTTGTTAGGTGCCGTTGAGTCGTTTCCGACTCATAGCAACCCCATGCACAGCAGAACGAAACACTGCCAACTCCATGATCCTTGTTATACTTGAGCCATTGTCACAGCCATCGTGTCAATCCATCTCGTCAAAGGTCTTCCCCTCTTTCGTCGACCTTCCACCTTACCAAGCATGACATCCTTCTCCAGGAATGGTCCCCTCTGACAACATGACCAAAGTAGGTGAGACGAAGTCTGGCCATCCTTGCTTCCAAGGAGAATCTCGGCCACACTTCCTCCAGGACAGATCTGTTAGTTCTTTTGGCAGTCCATGGTACCTTCAGCATTCTTCACCAGCACCACAACTCAAAAGCATCTACTCTTCTGCGGTCTTCCTTATTCATTGTACAGCTCTCACATGCACACGAGGCTTTTGTACTCACCAGCTTTTCTAAAGGTACAGGTTCCTCCTTAGTCCTCAAGGAGACATCCTTGCTCCTCAGCACTTGAAAGAGTTCCTTCACAGCCGACCTGCCCAGTGCTACACGTTGTCTAATGTCCTGACTGCTGCTTCCATTGGTGATGATTGTAGAACCTAGCAATGTGAATTCTTTGACAACCTCAATCTTTTCTCCATTTACTGGGATGCTGCTTATTGGTCCAGTTGTGAAGATTTTTGTCTTCTTTATATTGAGATGTAATCCATACTGCAGACTGTGTTCCTCAATCTTCATCAGTAAGTGCCTCAAGTCATCCTCACTTTCAGCAAGC